TAGATACTACAACCCAGGCTAATTTCTTCTACCTCTTCATCTTCTGTGACTTAACTCTTGATAAATATCACTGCCCAGATCTCTCAAGTCACCAAATTGTCCATTTCTCCTTTGGGCATTTTCTTCCCTTCTTTACAAACTCTTTCTCCCATGTCCTACTTTCCCTTCATATCCCCAGGGCCATTTCACTTTTATTCACCTTTATTCTGCATCTGTCTCTGGATCCAACAATCTGTCCTCATTCTTGTTCTAGTCTTTGTCAATTAACCTTAGTAATCAACCCAAGCCCATGGTTGTATCCCAGCTCTATAGAAGTGTCCTTATAGTGGGGGAATAAGGGGAACTTAAAAAAATATATGTGGTTGTGAAGGTTTACTATTTAGTATATTTAGGCTCTCTGGTGTCATGTAATCATAAAATCAATCATTGGATACTTTATTCTGTAAAACTTGCCTAATAACAACAAATACTTAAGTTCTTGGGGGAGATCCATATAAACTCTGAACTACTATTTTTAGAAAAATAATTTCCATTTGTAGAAAGGGCAATGTACCCAACATTCATGGTAGTTCTGACCTCAAAATGACAAATTATATTTTTACCTTTAGATTCTTTTAGTGACCTGTCTCAATTCAGTTATTTCTCATTACATCATAAATTGAACATAAAAATTAATAATTTATTTTCTTCCCCTACTCCTAAATGCTAGTAATCTTTTGTCTTTTGAGTGTCTTGGTTTGTATAAAAACATTCAACTGTCATTTTGAATATTTAATTCAAAATATGACTGCTATTTGACTGATAAACAAAATTATGACTATTTTCATATTAGGAGCAGTATTAAGAAAATTGTATTATTTTATATACTTTTCAAAAGGAATTTTTGGATATAGGATTAATAAGAATACTATTAGATAGATAAAGAGAACCTAAGTTGACTCCATTTTTTTTTCTGGACCTGGGACACATAGGACCTTGTTAAGGGACCCTGAATTAGAATTCTACTTTTGACTTTTAACAAATATCATAATCTTTTAGGTGCTAGAAAATATAAATCAAGTCATCCATACTTCTGTCTGCTTGCTAACAGTTTCATCCAGCCATGTACTCTCAAAAGAGCATTCTGTGTTATAGGGTGACAATATTGTTTAGGATTGCTCTCCCTGGACTATGTGGCTAGGACAAACTCAATCAAGGACATTCATAATAACTCTGTTCTCCCTTCCCACCTATTACTGCAGACATCTGAATGGGGGTAGCATCTTAATCTCTCTCACAATTTAACTTCTGCATGATCTCACTGTCTGTTGCCATGGAAATAATTGTAACATTGCAATTTTAGTACTACAGCCAGAGAACACTACAGTAGAATCAAACTGGCAGACACAAAGTAGGATGAATCTATTTTTCCTCTCTCTCTCTCTCCAAATATTTCTTATGCTTTTGGACATTTTTTCCCACCCTTTCTTTGTGTTTACTCAGCTAATTACACAGTTCATTCTCTCTTTAATGACTCTGTGCAAGTTTCTTCAAGGTCATCAGAACTAAAAGTATAAATGTGAGCAAATCCACACAAATTATTTACATCGATTTCATACCAGTTAAGGAAAAACTTCCAAATAGCTTCCTATAACGATTACACAGGGTACATCAGCATTTTAAAAAATCCATCAACAGCTCTCAGTTTTTAGGAGGTTTTCTGCAATTCTTTTAAACTCTCCATAAGTTGCTTGAAGATAAGAGAGACTCTTCAACCGATTGCTTTCAAACAAGGTCAACTCCAAGCCAGAATCCTATAACCCTTGCAGTAGCAAGTAGTAGTTATGGATTTTACTTTAAAAAAAATCTTGAATGAGTAACTTTAGGGAGGGTGGTGGATAAAATAGTTATTAACTCTTTGCCTCCATTTTCCCATCAATAAGTAAATCTTTGATAATGGTCACCATCCATAAAATGCCTCTTCTCTACCAAATTAAAAGAAGTATTCCTTTAGAGTAATAAAGGAAAGCCTTCTTTTTCATTGTTAATTTTATTTGCCAAAGTAGTACCACAAAGTGGTAGGATATATCAGAATTGGTCCTATTTAAAACCTAACAGGAAAGGTGGCTCCCACCATCATCAAATATTTGGTAAATTTAGAGACCAGAGATGGTTGTAGGTAAAATTAAGTAACCACATTACTTTGGGAAGCACTTTGACCTTCCTTCCCCTTCTAAATTCTTTCCCCACCAAAGAAACCTCTTCAACCCTCCGACTGGTCAGGTTCTGATTTTAACTGTTCATCTGAGCTGCTAAGTCCTCCTTAATTCTAGGACTTTTCCATTCCCCATCAAATCTACCTTTCCTTTATCGTAGGCCCTCTTTTTCTTTTAATGAAATAATAGGCAAATTTGTGGTCTTTTTTTTTTTGGCCGTGCAGCACAGCATGTTGGTATCTTAGTTCCTCGACCGGGGATTGAACGTGTGCCCCTTGCAGTGGAAGCACAGAGTCTTAACCACTGGACCACCAGGGAAGTCCAGAATGAGTGGTCCTTTTAAAGTACAAGTGAGATGTTATCATTCCACTACTTACACCCTTCATCTCATGTAGAGTAATATCCAAAGTCCTTACAGGCTCTACACAATCTAGCTCCCAATACCTGTCTAACCTCATTGCCTACTATGCCCAACCCAGGACCTCGACACTCACCACTCCTTTGGCCTGGCCTAATCTTCCCCCAGATGTCAAAATCGCTGGCTCCCTTACCTTCCTCACTGTAACATTAGCTCACCAAGTAATTAAAAATGCAATGTTCTCTATCAGCCAATCTCTTAGTCACTATACCACTTGACTACTTCTCTTTCTTCATAGTATTTAACTCTACAGGACATATTATATATTTAATTTACTTATCTGTTTATTATTTGTTTACTTCTTCCCCCATCGACACCCAGAAAGTGAGCATCGTTAGAGGAAGGAATTTTTTTTCTGTGTTGTTACTTTATTGCTCTCTAGCGATAGTCACTATAATAGTCACTGGTTCATGCTAGAAGCTCAAGAGATGTTTATTGAATAAATAATAAGTGGCCCCTTAACAAAGTACAGAAAACAAATCTCTTTTCTATAGAATGGCACAAATATCTGAACGAAGACACAGATTCCCTTACTCAACAATCTGAACTAGGATATATTAAAAGAACAAGACAATTGTTGTTCAGTGTTGAGGCTTTCAGGATACAATACGGTAGAGGATGTTCTTTCAGAAGTAAAACGATATGCCAGTTAAGGATACTAGGAAGCAGAAAGTACAGAACAGAGGAAGCCAGTCAGCAGAAGGACGTGGAGCACATATGCCCCACAGAAGCATAGCTACCAAAACTGAGGGACTCCATGAAGTCACTGAGAGGCACAATGAAAGTGGCCAGACTTCTTAAGAAAGTCACGCTAGTCAGATTGGTTCCTTATTACAGATAGGACTGCCATGCTAAGTTTTGATGGCTTAAGATACTACCTCTCTTGGGTAGTATACTACCTCTCTTTGCACATGTATCGTGCAAGTGTCTTTTGTAAAATAAGTTTGTTCTCCCAACTTATGTATCTCTAGTAAAGGCATTTCAGGTATTGTGTTGGGCTAGTGGGGAAGAGAATGTTTTGATTCCTTTGTCTGTTGATCCTTCCAAGTCACAGATCTGAACCATTCTTTGTTTATTTTATAGAGCCAATCCAAGAGGGGTTTTAAATTACAATGTAATCTAAAAACCACTCCTTTATAAGCAAAATTAATAAGGGGAAGGAGGATGGGGCATGTGAAAGCTAACAATGTAAAGGATTGCTTCTGAATGTGAACGCGGCATTGGCCAGATTTTAGAGCGTGTTAAATTGGGAAAGCATGGAGCTGAAATGACCTGGACTGAGTAGTAGCTTCCCACTTTGGCCTGGGTGCACATCTCCCGTTTGCCATAGTTCACACTGCTTACTACCCACTGTCTCTTTGGTTGTGAGGCCACTTATTATTGTTCCTATGCTATCATTTTCCTTCGGGTAGAAAAGTATTTCTTGATACCTTTGTTACAAATAACAGTAGACAAATGAGAAGACTGAGATGACTTCATGATTTTATTATATCTGACCCTCTTTGTTCACTGAGGTTAACTGCCATTGTAAGAATTTGTGTTTGCAACCGCTGATTACCTTAAGAGTTACTTTATGGCTATGAAGAAATTATTACTCTCAGAGGTCTAATGACTCATCTAAATTGACATTAACAAATTTTTAAAAATGCATCAGGCTACCTCTGACTGGCTTTCACTGACCATGTTGATACAAGAGTGAAGAGACTTAAATTAATATTTTATCCAGCAAAAGATTTAGGACTGTGATTTACCCTGTATTAAATCTAGTCTGCCAACCTCTGTGGTATAGGACTCAAGAATTCCCTGTAGCTCTGCTGAACTGGCTGGAAACATTATAAGGCATCTAAATTCTGTAGGTATAGCCATTCCTAGCAACCAATTTGATTTTTAACGGACAGAGAGCCCCAGGAAAGTAGATGCCTTTGTACCTGAGAAAAAAGAATTCCCAAGCAACATAGACATGCCCTAATCAGTATGCTCCGGGTATGACAGCATGCAAGTGAGTGATCTATTTCGTTCTGAACCCCTGCTCTGTCAGTGACAGTACGTGATTTACCAGAACAAATCAAATAAATGTATTTGACTCCTGTATTTGACTCAAAACACTGAGCCATATTTCCTTATGCAGCCCTCTGAATTCACATTCTTAATTTTGACTTTTTCTCATAAAATACTGTTGTCAGAATAAGAATGCAAATAGCAATGAATCAAGGTAGAACTGTTTTCAACGCTTTCAAACATTGTGTAAAGAATGATTTCTGCATGGATATGATACTCTGGCAGACGTGGTTCAAAAAATTACAACCCCCCAAAACAATTTGGAGACCTTGACTGTGCAATCAGTGGTCAGATATTTCAATGCTCTGTTGCTCCCGTTCCTGCTACAGGTACATGTGACAGCGCTGCAGCGATGAGTGGAATTTTAAACAGGAAGTTGGAAGAAATTGAGGGCTCCGCACCCTGCTCCTCTGTGCGGGAATCAGATGATGAAGTTTTTAGCTGTGACAGTGCCACCAGTGTTGATAGTGTCTATCTGTCCACTTCTAATCATTTCACTGGTGAGTATCTGAGGCTGTATTTCAGGTTGTACTCTAAATTGTGTTGTATGGTCGATTCTTGGAGTTTTTATCTGATGGCTTTTATCTGCCCCTAAGCTGTTTATGATAACAGACTTAATTTGCAAAAAATGATACCATTTTGGTTAATTAAGTCTCAGTAGTTTACTCCTGTTTCTTTCTACAGAGTGAGTACAAGAGGCAGAAATGAGTCCAAAGTTAAGCAAATAGCAATTGAAAATAATTTCCTATGTGTCTTCAGTTTTCTGAAATAGATTCATCTTTTCGAAATTAAATCATCTGAGCTCTTTTGAACATCTAATACTAGTCAGTGAGTTTTGGAATACTTGCAGTGCTGAGTACAAAACATTCACTTCCCAGGTGAGAAAATGGTGTTTGTTTTTAAAAGAATGCTGCTCTGAAATAAAAGCCTTGAAAACCCTAAAATTCTGTAGTTGTTTGGATACTGGTAAACCTCAGACCCAAGGCCGGGTTCATGCACTATAGTAAGTAAATGCAGCTTTCTACACATATATACTTCTAAGCAGTTCATGTGAACATCATTTAACTTAAGGTGATATGTTCAAACTTAAAATTGTAGCCATTTAAAGTTGCATTCCTTGTAACAGATGCTCATATGAAGATTAGGCAAATCCTTTCCAACATTTCCATGTCCACTCAACACCAGTCATTAGGAGACTGGTGATTTTCAAACTATGTTTTAGAAGAGTTAACATCATTCAAAGCAAAACTAAACAAGGTCAATAAAAACCCCTGGGGCATTTGTGTTTGGGTTTTTTTTAGCTCACCAAAACAGCCTTTTAAAATTCACACTGAAGTTTATACAATGTGGCTCTGTGATACCTCTAATTCCATTTTTAACCTTCCTCTCCATTTTTTTTTTTTTTTTTTTTTTTTTTTTGCGGTCTGTGGGCCTCTCACTGTTGTGGCCTCTCCCGTTGCGGAGCACAGGCTCCGGATGCGCAGGCTCAGCGGCCATGGCTCACGGGCCCAGCTGCTCCGCGGCATGTGGGATCCTCCCGGACTGGGGCACGAACCCGTGTCCCCTGCATCGGCAGGTGGACTCTCAACCACTGCGCCACCAGGGAAGCCCCTTTCTCTCCATTTTTAACCTTTGTCTCCCTGACTGCCAAGAATTCAAAAGTTTGTTTGGTATTCATGAATTCTCCCTCATCACCGTTAGAAGGATTTAGAATAAAAATAGGTGTAACTTTATAGGAATGTTTAGCTTCTGTTATTTATCTCTTGACTAAAGTAGAACTTATTTTTAATGAACTTGTAGAAAATATAAAAAAGTAAGGAGAAGATAAAGGAACACTTGGGAGAAGGGAGGAAACAATAGCTGTTTTGAGAACAAGATTCTCTAGTTACATAGGACAGTTACTGACAATCAGTGGATTTGCGGGATAAGTTTTGTTTGAAATTTATCTGTAGCCTTCTGCCTCTTCCTCTAAGTGACTGTAGCCTTGTGGTAGGCACACACCTTACTGTCACCCACGGTGCCTAGAAGAGCACTGAACATTGAATGTTGCTTAGACTTCTTTATTGAGTGAACAGATTAATTTTCAGACAATTTTTACACTTTTTTGATAAATAAAAATTGTATATATTTAATGTGCACAACATGATGTTTTGACTTATGTATGCATTGTGAAATTATTATCACATTCAAGCTAATGAACATTTCTATCACCTCACAGTTACCTTTTTTTCTTTTTTGGCGGCGGTGGTGGTGGTGAGAACATAAGATCTACTCTTCTGGCAAATTTCAAGAATGAAATACATTATTTTTATAATTTCAGATGACCTTTTTTTTAAACTGGAGAGAATGAGTCTACTGGATGCCCTTATCCTTAGACAAGCAACAGTACACGTTTAAATTCAAGAGCCTCAGGTACACTATTAAATTCCTTTTCTATGTACCTTGAGAGTGTTCCTTCTGCAAGCCCTATAACACGGCAGGAGCTCCTAGTACTTCTCAACTGTTACCCCTTTAGCCACTCCTGAACAACACCATCAATCTAGACCCTGTTTCTTTGAGGTCTTCCTACTCTAGTGCAGTGCAGCATTTTCCACACACCTCTGATTTGTTTTTAAACCTTCAACATGCTTAAACCTCCTCCCTCCTGTCTATGCTTCTCCTAAAGTTACAAATTGACTCTCTCCTGGAAAAATCAATTGCAGACCTTCTCTATGCAAGGTGTCTATTGATTTCTATAGCTTGTGAGCTCACAAAGTACCTATAATGTTCATTTAAACACCATCAGGTCTTACAATTGCAGATCAAAATACTTTCCAGATGAAAGTAATGTTCTAGTAGTGTACAGGGGTTTGAAAAATGATAGGTCAGGCACTTGTTATGAGCACCTGAACAGTTCCCTGGAGGGTAAAAGTTTGAGTGGAGAGTGGTTTTTATTTTGATATAATAAACTATTTGATAACTATTTTGCTATCTGGTCATAACTTTCCTGCTTCATCACCATGGCACGAGCCTATGGAGGAGGAGATGTCTGTTGTGTACAGAGGAGACAGCAGGCTAGTGAAAGCGGCCGTGAAGTTTGATTAGCTCTTTCAGCTACTTTTCATTGCAAGTATTCAAGGGTTTTGAGGGAAATATTTACCGATACTCCTCTGTAAGGAAACACTGGTATGCATCATTGAGCACCTTGTAACTGAATGTGTGAGGATAAAAACGATTTGGGATAAACGGTGGGAAGGAGGAGTAAAAAAAAAAATAGATGGAAATGTGACAGTAACAGGGGGATTTCCTGTTACCGTAGGTTATTCTCAGCCTGATCTCCAGTACAAACGCTTATTATTTTATAAAATTGGGCAAATTGAGGAAGAAAATGCATTTGAATTTTTTTAGAGGGTCCAATGATCTTATATATGAGTAAGAAACAAAATAGTAGAGTCAACCCTCATTTTGAATTCAAAGAATGTTAGAGCTAGTAGAGCCTTTGAGAACATCTAGATCGACCCTTATTTTACCGATGTGGAGACCACAGCCCAGGGAGAGTTACTTGACAAGAATCCAGATGTGAGCTAGTGGCAGAGAACTTTATCATAGATCCCTAGAGGATTGGCCTTTCTACTAGACTGTGCGGCTCTCTGATGGGTCTGTTATATCACTGACTACTAAGTAGAGGGACCCAAATCATCAAGTGAAAGACAGGGCTGTATCTTTTGTGCCAGCTCCTCTTAGAAACAGAATGAGCCCATCTTTCGGCATCTCATCTCTGTTGCCTTTTTCTTCAGTTGGTTTCTATTGAAAGTGTGCATATCTCCTGGCTGTAATACAATGCCAGTGATGAGTTTATGAATAAATTCAATGAGCATAAAGAAGTAGTGGACAGAGAAGTCGATTTGAGTGTGAATGAACCATTTCTCTTCCTCCTGCTGTAAGTGACGGGGCAGACTGTTGAGATTTCGCTTGTGTGTCCCTGACATTGATGAAAATATCTTACAGCAAACATGTTGTTTTACATTTACATGAATGAAATTGGTTTGTCATGGTGACATAATGCTACTTGTGATAATGTGAAAATGTTACGATGAAAAGTAGGTGAGATGCAGTCTGCGGTGTGCATCTTCACTGGCAGCTAACGAATAGAAGGTTATTTCATTTACTTTAGAAGTAAAACCTTTGTATATTCCACTTTTGCCAGAAGGGTGAATGGTCATCCTGGATTCACTGAAAAAAAAAAAAAAAATAATGATATCCTTCCATCCCTTGAACTCCAGGACCCTACATTACTTTTACTTGTTCAATAATTCAAGACTTCAGAAACCCACTTAACTTGCATTTCAGTGAGACTCAGTCACAGCTTCTGACTGAATGCAGTAATTCTATTCCATTTTACTGGCTAGGTAAAGAATTGGCTTTTTTTTTTTTTTTTAAGAATTGGCTTTTATGTTTGCTTGTTTGTTTTAAGCCCTGAAAAACTTAAATTTGGCTTTAAATGTAAAAGCACGATTAGACCGAGTTTCAAGTAAAATTTTATATATTGATATCGTAGTGAATCTAGAAAAACAACACATTGCTTGTGGTTTTAACTCTCAGTTAGGTACTATAAAAAACTAATTATAAAGATAGTTCTGGTGGTGTTAATGGTACTATTTCTTACATTATTCAAGGGATAAGGCCCTATTAGCATGAGACCCAAAATACTTTATAGAAAATCTTCCATTTTTCCACAGCTCTTATTTACTCAGGATGTCTATAGATGGAACTGATCTTGTAGCTGAATTTCATAAAGAGTACAAGAAGTAGAGCTGCTATTAAATATTAAAGACACCACCTTTACATTAGTGATCAGAATATTTTCACCTGACAATGTAATTTGTTTACAAATATTTCTTAGAGTATTTGCATTTTATAAACTTCTTGATAAGAATCATTCATATCTTTATTTTGGGGTCATCTAGAAGTGGTCATGGGCAATAAGGAGATGATTACCCAGTTGCAAAATAGTGTGACTTGAAAAATGGATCCAAATGAATTTAGGTGATTAAAATTCTGCTCAGCATTTTCAAAGTCCCATAATCTTTTGGCTTTGGTTTGAATACCAGAGGCTGACTGGCATTATACTTGTTGTTTATGATGGTGATGATAAAATCATAGTGCCTGAAGCAACTGTCCTTGTGTTTCTCAAAAGATTTTAAAATTCATCATGCAAATCAGGCAATCTGATGCTTTCTGACAGCTCGAGGGAAGTATAGTTGTGTGCATGTGAATGCAAAAAAGAATTAAACCTGGTTCTGCTAAAAAAAAAAAAAAAAGCCAGTTGGTGCTATTTCTGAATTGGCTGCAATATTTAACCATTTCACTCTGGAAAATACTTGTTTGTACTCTGAAAATATTACTTCTTTTTTTGTCTAAAGAATTTGGGAATAAACCGGGAATGTTTTAGGGCCACAGAATTATTGTACCATATGTTTTATACGTTCGGCTACAGTGATCAGGCATGAACTAGAATAGT